TTTATTGCACTTGGTCCTGGGGATCTCCAGGTCCTTGTGGCAGGATGCGCTGCGTACTAAAAATGTCGAAAGTTTTGTGCACGCGCTTTCGCGCCTGGAAATCGCTGCTGCGTTTTATGATTCCGCCGCCCCCCCTCGTAAAGCAGGGGCTTAGGTGGAAGGGGGGTGTCCCTCAAAAAAGGGGATGTTAGCAGAAGGATTTCATCCCTTCTGTGGGTTACAACTCCTACGTCCCTGCCTTCCCTCTTATATGTGTGGTGGAAGGGGTGTGGGGGGTGGGGGCAGTGGAACGTTAAGCATTTGCTAACAGTCCAGTGAACCGGTAATCAAAGCCAAATCACCAAAGCACTGAAACAACTTTTTTATGCTAATTTTTACTTTTACCTCAACCCGGACACCGCTTCAGTCCACCTGTGTGTGTGGCATGCTACATTAAACATTTAAATACGCTTCTGAGCAGCCCCCGTCGATTCGGGGCACAGGAGGATGCTGCTGAGTGGGTTAAGAGGAAGGCGGAACCAAAACTTCAGACACGAGATTTCCTGCATCCTGCATCCTGCAACGGCCCCCTGCCACTGCAGACACTCGTGCAATAAGCCAAATTGTAGCTCAAAGATACATCCTCGTGGCTGCAGCCTGAAGTCTGACCTGAAGCACTCCTCCAACTATTAACTTTGGCGAAGATTGCGAGACTTTTCGGTGCTTGACTCAAAATGCAAATACCCAGTCGAGCACATCAAAACCCTCCAAGTTGCCCCGCTAAGTTGCCACTTTGCCACACACGCGCACACACAGATACTCATACACAGATGTGTAAGAGTGTGTGGTGACGGCTGCTGCTGTTTCTACTGCTTCCGTAGGCGGAGGCGTCTCCCGGCAAGCACTTTTCAAAGCCAACTTCACATTATGTCAAGCAGCGCGCTATAGCATATTCATTTTTTCTGCTTTGCATTTTCCCGTATTTTTTCGGGAGCGTAGCGCGTGTCAGGCCTTCTCACCGACAACGTCTTCTTTATTTCGTCAAGCATTACATCTACGGTTTTCGAGAGTAGTAAGAGGGAGTTTATCTCGGCCCAAAATACACAACTCGAGCGATCTATTATATAGATTTTAAAGGTATTAAATGCTTAAGGTTAATGAAAAGTCGAGCAGGTTCGATATACACATATGTATATTGCAGATTATTGGTAAACGAAAGGGAAAGTCCTTATATATGTGGGTTGCATGACGATTAGCTCGAGACTGGCCAAGGGCAGGCGGACCCTAACGTAGTTGAGAGGGCACTGGGTATTATTTTTGGAGCTTATAGAATAGATGGAATAGATTAATAAATATATTGTGACTATTAAATTTAGATTCGAGGGGAAACATTGACGATACATAGTACATTTCCTAGTAATATATCTCTCTCTGAAGATTCTTCACCTGCCGAAGGGTATCCCCATACTCGTTATCCAGCCTCCGTCATCTTTAAAACATTATCCTCGCCTGCCTGCCGGCTCCTGCGGGGCCTGCCTTCCTGCCTGCTGTGCGCTAAGAGACCCATCGGCACTTGGTGTGTGGGGTGGCTCTAGAGATTCCAGTCACCACCCCCTCTGAGGAGGCGCCTCCTGACATTTACGATATTCCTGGGCATATTTTTTTCGGTGCCTCCCACCACCACCGCCGCGCCCCTTTACGTGACTGTTTTATTTGATGTTAATGTGGCTCCTCGGAGGGGGTTTCCACAGCAGGTTGGCCCATTTTCCAGCGACTTTAAAGTGAAGCCACCGCAATGGCATCCTCTGGAACACCTCCATTCTGCATCGTGAAATGTGTCACACTCCTTAAGCATTATGAATGCCATAGGATTTATTTTGATATCCAAAAATGGTCCGAAGAGGAACCTCACCCTGGGTCTGTTTCGGAGAATGTGAATGAAAAATGTGCCCAAGTTACTTTTGACATTTTGTCATCTTAAGCTCTATTTCTTCTGTAGCTGCTTGTTTATGCCATTGCCACAGAAAATTGATTTATTTTGGCCCCATGAATCTTTTACTTTGTGAGCGACTTGAGGAGTTGGCCAAGTTAACGCAACGGGCGGGATTATGGCCTAATAAATGGCCCAAACAGAAATGCCAATAAACGAGCAATTCAATGAAAATTTTCAGGCTTTCTTTGAAAATTGATTTACTCTATTCCTTTGTGGACCATCTTTTGTTTTGTTTTTGTTTTTCCCTTTTTATGTCGATTTTCCCCAGCCCTTTTCTGACTTTTTTTGCACCTCTTTCCATCAGAACAAAGCTTTTGTTTCCGTTTGAATGGTGTTGTTTTTACATGAAACATAATAATTTGCATGATTAAAAAAATAAATAAAATAATTTACTGCTGAAAAGGAAATAATGTTCCGAATTCAATCAGGACAATCTGCTGGTTAAATCTCTCGGGGATTTAACGTTGACTACACAACACTCCTCATCCCCTGCTTATCGCTGTTTAATTTCCTTTTACTTTGGTCGCAACTTTTCATATTGGTTTTCCGCTCTGCGCTCCACGCCCCCGCCACAAGCCACGCACTGCAGCATTATTCATTCGGGCATAAGAATTCTGTTTGTCTCTTTGTTTGTTTGTTTTTCTCTTTTAAATCATTTAAGCCGCATTATTTTTCAACGAATGGCAGACCAGGGGGGTGGGGAACCCAGGCGGACGGCGGAAGGGGGCTGGCGGAAAAGCAGGAAGAAGAAGGAACCAACCGTCGGAAACGCAAAAAGTTGCACAAACATCAACTGCAACGGCAACAGAGTGTGCAACTGCAACAGCAACTGCAACAACATGATTCACTCATATTTCCCTGTACATTTATTTATTTATTCAGAGCTGCATTTCATTTTATTTCATTTCGGTTTATTCTCTCCCAGAACGAAAACTATATTTTTTTGTTCATGTACAAATATTTCTCCCTTTTCATGTGCAACAAGGATACACAGGAAACACAGGAGCGGTAGAGGGGAGGGCCGGAGGCAGGAGTGCGTGTGCAGGTTATAACAATAAAAGGATTCTCTTTATACTCACATGCTGCAAGCGGTCTCTGCCTCCACGGCCACAGCCGCCACAGCCTCCACAGCCTCCGGCCCCGCCCCCGCCTTCACTTTTCACTTTTGCTATTTGTTCTGTCACTTCCGGTGGAAACGAATCAAAAAAAAAAATGGCCGCCCGCATGTCCTCCCTGTGTCCCTTTATCCCTTATGCCTTCTCCTGCTTGCCTTTCGCATATTTGGGTGCCCCATCCCATCCGCTTTTGCCTGCCACATCCGTTCTCCGTCCTTGTAGCTGCCACACTTTTTTCGGAGAAGCTCTGTTGAAGGCGTTTATTAAATGTCACACTGCGAATTTGCCGACGGCCGGCCGCGTCTTCCTTCCTGCCACACCATCCGCCCTCCCCTCTGGGATGCTGCTGCTGCTGCTGCCGCTGCTGGCCCCAAAAGCACAATGGCACTTGTCGCGTTCGGAGATTTCACTTTGTTGTCCTGTTGCCAGATATCTCTCCGGATTTGCCTCCTTCTTCGTGTTGACTTAATGTTACACATTTTTAGTTGCCACCCACTCCGACTACCACTCCCACTGCCACTCCCGGTCGGCGAGTGTCCTTTAACCCATCTCTGTGACAATTTCATTTATTTTCTCGTTTTCCGCTTTACGTTTGTCGTCAACCTTTTTGTCTCGCTTGGTGTCTCCTCCTGAAACTCAATTACTTTGCCTGCAATTGTATCGGTTGGCTTTAGGCCCCCTCTCCACCTCCCCATCACCCTCCCAGTCGCTGCCCCGCCGTGTGGCAGAAGCAGCACCGTTCTGACCTTTGCAACATGGCGCGTTTACACAACAATTACTGTGTGCACATTTCTCGCATAATTTAATAATAATGGAAATTATTATTATGATGTCACCCCCCCTCCCCGGAGCCAACCATAAAATTAAAAGTAATCACAATAAATATCTATAGAGATAGCATAATTTATGCGGGAACTTAATTTATTAAAGCACTTGCATAATTGTTAATACCCTTTTTTGTGGGACGCGGAGAGCAAGAGAGAGAGAGAGCGGAGGCGAGGGGAGACTTATAAGCGACTTATTTTTCAACAGTCAGCATTCCTTGTTCGTCTAGATGGCAATTGCATTACCCGATAAATATCCAAATTAAGACATTTCAAAAGCGCAAAATATTCTTTTGCTTATCCCCGATATGCCATTTTCCCCGATTCGTTTCTTTTTTTATTTGGCTTTCCATTGCACAAGAACAATGCAACAAAAGGAAAAACCTCCTCCATTGCAAAGTGTATTTATTTTTAATTATTTTATTTTATATGTTGCAAGCGGACAAACAGCTGCTGTTGCTGCTGCTGCTCCTGGCAGTCGAAACAAATCGAGAATATTCCTGAAATTAAATTGCAATGAAATACGGAATGAAATTCTCCAATTAAATGCAGAAATTCGTTGCCCCAAAGGGGGCGCAGGCGTGAAACAGGAACAGGAACCAGCACTGCAGCCAGGACTCTGGACAAAGTATTCAATTACAACAAAAATTTTGTGCCGGAAAACCAGATAAATAGTGTGAAAGAGATAGCCGAAAGGGCAGCCAGAGAGGGAGCGAGAGAGAAGGAGAGTGAAAATGTTGTACTAAATAAAACGTAGCCTCAAGTATTCTTGTGGCAAGCTGTTGAGAGAGTAACCAAAAAAGGCAGAAGCAAACTTTTCCTTACAGAAAGAGAGAGGGCTTGAAGAGAGAAGGGACTTCCCTTCCAGACAGACAGAACGCCCTGGCTGTTGCCACCCCCTCCCCAGTACCATGCCCGGTGCGGTACTTGAGCAAAAGTTTGCTCAGGTGCAAGGCACTTGTGGCACGGGAATGCGAGAGCCTCCTCCGCTTGAGAGTATCAATTAGTGAAATTAAATTTCTCCTACGCCTTTTCGCCACCTCTCAACTGTACTCACATCGATGCTATCTGTTTTTTTCCGTCTTTCAGAGCACGGCGGAGCCCGTGTACTCCCCCACGATGGCCGGTGGGCTCTTCTCGATAGACCGGGAGTACTTCAACCGCCTGGGGACCTACGACTCTGGCTTCGATATCTGGGGCGGCGAGAATCTGGAGCTGTCCTTCAAGACCTGGATGTGCGGCGGCACTCTGGAGATTGTGCCCTGCTCCCATGTGGGCCACATCTTCCGCAAGCGTTCCCCTTATAAGGTAAGTGCCATTCGGTCAATTATCGAATCGCAAATGGAAATGGAAACGGAAATGGCAATCTGTCGGTCGGTACATCTGTTTCTGAGGGGCAGAAATTGCTGGACAATGAATGCCAGTGGTTGCCAAAACCAATATTGATATACCATCCAAACCATCAACACCCACTGCCCAAGTCTCGCCCACTGCTCATTAACGACCTAGAGGTGGATACCTATGTAGAGTGGCATGGAAGTGAGTCTGATGCCTGGGGGAAAGACCAAAAGAATTTAAAACTCTTACACAACATCACGTGCTGTATGGCTGTGTGTTGTGTGTGTTGTGTTCTCGGCATCGCTTTGTGTGGCCAGCCTCAGGACCAGTTACCAGCCGAGGTTCGTGTTTGGTCAACAGTGTCCCAATACCCGCCGCTCACACCCCACACCCCACACCCGACACACCCAACACACCCACTATCACCACCACCACATAGTCTACTCTACCCGTTTCCCCATCCACTCCTCGGGCCTTGCACAATGCCAGCCGCAAAGCAGCAACATGGAGGGACCTCGACATGGACATGCATTGTGGCTGTCTTTGCCATGTGTGTCCTCCTTTACCAGCAACTTCGGATGGCAACTACTGCCACTGCCACTGCCACTGCCTCTGCCTCTTGGGGCTGCTTCAATTATCAACGGTTTACGCTTGACAAAAGTTTGGCAACTGTTTGGATGTCAATACCGCAACACACAGAGCTTCAAAGCATGCTCTCGGAGTGGAACTAACCCGAACCCGAACGTCCAAATCCCCAGGGAGTTTCGTCCTCAAGATGAGTTGCCGATAAACAAGAGAGATATGGAGAGAGAGAGAAAGAGAAAGAGAACAGAGGACCACTAATGGACAGCTACATGATATTTAATTTCGCACAATAACACATTCCTAGTAGTAAATATGTACTCTAGTTCATGAATAGTAATCGTTCGATTGTTTCGGATAACATTTATCGATAAATTATAAACATGTTTCCATCAGAAACAGCAACAGATCGACACATTTATCGTTTGGGTATCGATTGTGGCGACAGCCCTTTGCAAATTCAATAAACGTCAGGTGCAAAGCACTAAATCTTCCAGTCCTGGCATCCGCCACACCCACTGCTGCACCAACCACCTCCCCCATCCGTCCTCTCACGGCTCTGCTTTCCCGCTGGCAATATGAAACGAGCAGCGACAATACACAGGGACAGGGAAACACAAACACAGAACAAGACACACAACAGGCGGACAATGCCCATGAGGTCTGAGGTGGGGTGGTGTGGTAAAGGGGCAATAAAGAGGTGAAGTGAAGGCAAGGACCAGGTAGCCAGAGACAACCACAACAGGAGCAGGAGCTGAGGCAGCAGCAACCAGCAGAAGCCTTACATAATGCCACTAAGCAAAAGCCACTCATTCAGGTAATTAGGCTTTGTTGTCCACCTCTCCTGCTGCCTCTGCTGCTGCTGCTGCGCCTCTTCATGGCCACTCCTAGGACCTGGATCTGGACCTGGACATCGTCGAGAGCTCTGGCTGCATTGTTCTGCTCTACCTCCACTTCACTCCACTTCACTCCACTCCACTCTGCTCTGTTCTGTTTGCTGACCAAATATTTCCATTGACTCTGGCTCTGGCACCCGCCCGCCCGTTCAGTGATTGCGTTTGCCTTGGCCGTGCCTTTCCCTATGCTATCTTTTACCTTTCCCTCGCTTTCCTGGGAAAACTATGGAGGCCATAGAGCAGTCCACTCACCACTTTCTGTTTTCCCTCCAATTGCAGTGGCGTTCGGGCGTGAATGTGCTGCGAAAGAACTCGGTGCGACTGGCGGAGGTCTGGATGGATGAGTACTCGCAGTACTACTACCATCGCATCGGGAACGACAAAGGCGACTGGGGCGATGTCAGCGATCGTAAGAAACTGCGGTAAGTTGTGGGGAGGATGAGAACAAGAATTCATCCCAATCACAATTCCAATCCCAATCCCAAATGCTCATCCCAGGGAGGACCTGCAGTGCAAGAGCTTCAAGTGGTATCTGGACAACATCTATCCCGAGCTCTTCATACCCGGCGATGCGGTGGCCCATGGCGAGGTAAGTCCTTTGGTTTCCCCAGTGTTGTCAACACCCCCACCCCAATCCCCAATCCCTAGGACCAGCCCCACACCCATCAACTGAAACACTAACCCTGAAAACTGGTTCCAACCCACACGATATTAATCCCAATTCGCAGATAAGAAACCTAGGTTATGGCGGTCGCACCTGCTTGGACTCTCCAACCGGAAAGAAGCACCAGAAGAAGGCCGTTGGTCTCTATCCCTGCCATCGCCAGGGCGGCAATCAGGTTTGTTTTGCAACAATCTCAGCAGCCCTGCGACCGCCACAAACTCCGTTCAACAAGCACAAGAAAACCGAAAACCGAAAGATACAACCTCTTTGATCCGTACTCCCACTTCGTTGCTACTAAACACTTTGTCCAAAACTAATATCTTTCTATATATACATCTGGCAATGTGGTGGCATTCTCCCCAACTCTAAGATTTTATAAGACTCTTTGATCCTTTGCTTTGAACAGCTCTCAGGTCTCAGACCGATCTGAACTCTCTATGAACTCTACATAAACTTAATTTCCAGATATCAAACATAGCGTCGGGCATGTGCCTAGATGGGCAGGAAAAGCGCGAAGAAGCGGCCACCGTTTCCGTGTATCAGTGTCACGGCCAAGGAGGAAATCAGGTATCCACATACCGGCCAGAAACGGAGGCATAGGCGGCGACCAGGCGGCCCGCCTGACGGCTGCCCGGCGCCCCACCTCGTTCTTTTAACATTTACTTTTCTGTTTTCCGCTTTGTTGAAATTTGAGTTTTGTTGGTGTTTTTCTTCGGTTCCTGTTTCCTGATTTTTGCGCTTATTTAGTGCTTTTCCGCTTCTCGTTTTGTTAATTTTCTGCTTGCCTTTTTGAATACAAACCCAAACCCACATCCAATTGACACTTGACAATACACTCCCGCTCCTCCAAGTCACATCATATCACATTATCATCATGGAATAATCCCACTAAAGAGGTTCAGGAACTCTATTAATCCATGCACTAAGTATCCCTGATTTTTCTAAGAATTTCGATTTGAATTTTTGATGAAAACTTTATAGAATCCCTACAGATTCTATAGCGATCAAGGCTATAGAGAATTTTTGGGATCCATCCGTACGTTTTAATCATTATAAAATTGAAAAGTGGTTTAGATTTAACCTCCATATAGCCTCTAAGTACTTTATTTGTTGAAAAGAAAACAATGTCTTTACTAGAAGACGTAAACACTCTCTAAATATCACTTTCATTTCTACCAAATGTCTATACCTGAAATCATCTTTAGGCCATAATCATCTAAAGTACAACCTTAGAAAAATCATATATTCTTTGAAATATTATTTGATAAATCATGAAACCCAACCCCTAATATTCCCACTTATTTTATATTCCGATCTAAGCTTGATTTTATTGTTACGTTTGGAAAGTTTTTCCTTATTTGGTTTTTTGATTTTTGGTGCCTGTGCCTCCGCCGAAAGGTATTTCAAAAGTGGATCCTCGATAAGAGCTGACAACAATAACTGTATTTTTGCCTTTGTTTTTTTGTTATCCATGTGAAAGTTCTGCGGTTTTGAGCACTAATTTTGACGGAGTTTGTGGCTAGTGTAATAAATTTTAGTATCGTATCGAAAATAATGTGGAGTGAAAGCATTTCATATTCAATTTACAATTTACAATTTGTTTGCATATCATAAGTGAAGGTATTTATCCGCAATTGTTGCCAAGCCAAGGCAAAAATTGCATTGACAATTTAACAGTTTTACAGGATACATACAATCAGATACAATCGCATAAAACACACACATTTACATTTACATTCACACGAACACGCACATTGACAGACACTTATTTGAGGGTATTTTTGGTCGATTTATGCCATGTCACACAGAAATTAATTAAAACGCAATCATAAATAAAACTCTGAATGATAAATCATTTGCATCGCTTTGGCTTCAGCTGCTGAGAGGTTGATTTTTTGTTGTCGTGTTGTGCGGCAACAACTAATGTTACAACAACAACAACAACAACAGTTACAAAAAAGCACTAACGAGAACACTTGCAACAGCACACAGAGCTTCTGCTGCTGTTGCTGCTGCAAAAACACCAATTACGACTGCCATCGACAGAAACTTCAAAAAGAAAATAGAGAAACCGACACAAATTGCACGCGCATGAGCAACAAAAACAGTTACAACTGTGAAAACTACAACAAAATTCAGAAATTCAACAACTTTGACAGACAATAACGATAATTTCAATAGCATTAAACATCAAAAGGGCTCTTCAAAAAGCATTGCTTTTAGAATTACAGCAATGGGATAAGCTAAAACAACAACACTAAGACAACTATTGGAATCACAACAGAAAAATCCTGAAATTTCTCCAACAGCAGAACTTCTTCACCAACAATTCGAGGGTCCACGAAAGAAAGACAAACAAAAAACCCGATTTAGAAACAAGAATTTTTGACAACTTAACAAGAAACAGAGGGCGACCCACACAACTCGGCAACAGACCAAACTACAGGCGAATGAACTGCAACAGACAATAGAATCCTTTACAACACACACACACACACACACAAGCGCGCGCGCAAACACACACAGATACTGTGCCAATGTTTGCGTGAGGCTATGGTATATTCAGCATTTAAATGGGGGGAAAGTGTTGACCCCGTTCTACTGTCCGACCGACGCGTCGCGCTCCCTCGCTTCGAAATTGTCGTCCCAGACAGACGGCAGCAAACAACAACTACAATGGCATTCGCCACGCCTACAACCATTCACCGCGCCTCCCCATGTACACACACGCACACACACATACAAATGGTGAGAGTGCAACAAAATAGAAACCGCATCCAAGTTGGAAAAGCGGCTGCGAATGAAATAATCAACATTTGCAAAGCAGTCGCAAAAAGTGCGGAAGGAAAATGCGGGCCTAAACTCGTGGGCGTTTGAGCACGGAGGCGTGGTTTTTTTTCGAAAATTTTAATTTTGCATATCGGAGCGATTGCATGTGCACCGGCCAGCAGTTGGCCGGGGGACAAAGGATTGCCGTGAAGAGAATACGTCAAAGGATATGAATCCGGTAACCAGGAGGCTAAAACTTGTTCTACCACTGGCCGAATGTCCACATAATGTAAGAGCTCCGCCCATGAAAACGCGACTGGGCCAGGACAAATACGAGTACGGAGAACGAAGTACGGAGTGCGAAGTATCTGTGTGCCGGCAGAAAACAAATTGGTTCAGCGAGAGAGCATAAAAAAACAAAAAAGGAAAGCTAACCTTTGCGTTCGAAAGTGCTAGATACCCTTGCAGGTCAAATAAACTGTAGGGGAATGCAAGAGACTAGGTTTTTTTGTACATTAAAGCTCTTTTCGAGGCTGTTCCACATGCCTTATGTATCAACATGGGATCAGAATCATACTACCCCGTTTCGAGGGTATAAAGAGAGCTAAATAAAATATACGCTAGATAAAAAAGAAAAATATAAAACGACATGCAAAAAATGTAATTAAAAACGCATCACGCACACAGAGGGGGAAAGCAATGAAGGCATGACGGAATGGGGGAAAGGAAATGGAAAAGAAATGCAAATCGCGAACACCAAGGGTGACAAGGGAGTGGGTGAGCAGTGGGGTAGTGGGTGGGTGGATGCCAGGACAAAATAATAAGCAAGGATGAATATGAAGTAGATAGTTCTCTATCCGCAAGGAGGAGAAGCGTCCTTGGGAAGCCTACGTGACACAACTGTAAGACAGCTCTTGTAGAAATCATTGGAGGGATTTCCGCTCATTCTACCCGAACGAAGGGGGAACTGTAACGAAAACGAGATACTCGATGGAACTCAAATTTTGAAAGTCGACTGTTAAAACAATAACTGTAATTATCCGTGCAATGGGGGCCGCCTCCGTCCACCCCACCATTGAATGGCTCATCATTATTCCTGGCATTATTCCTGGTAGTCCTGGCAGCATTATAAAACGAATAAAGAAGGGGAGGAAAGGGAGACTGTATGGACAGCAGGCGCGGAAACGGAAATGGTAGCAACACCAAATGGCGGCTGGTCACGACCTACCAACGAGAGCAAGTGTGGGAGGGAATGAGGGCTGTAGAGCAGGGCAAACAAAGGCATTTTCAGCGGGCCGCAGAATCAAAACGGGATTCAGAAGCCTGGTTCCGAGGTCCCTGCCATCTGGAATTGGCAACGTGGCTCAAATTATAAATAATCATGACCAGACTCACACAGACGCACCCATGCAGTGGACAGAACCTTAAATACACACACACACAATCACACAAAGCCACATACACAGAAACAGAGCTGCTTTTTGGCATTTAGTTGAATAAAACATTAATCTGTAATAAGATGTGAGATTGTAGTCCTGTAGTGCTGGAAAAACTTTTGGCTTGGCAGTTGGCAGACCCACGCATCCGCATCCATCGCAATTTATATTAATGTGATCCCTTTCCTTCTCCCGTTCCCCTGCAGTACTGGATGCTGAGCAAGGTGGGGGAAATACGACGCGACGACTACTGCTTAGACTATGCCGGCAAGGAAGTGATACTCTATTCGTGCCACGGCGGCAAGGGAAATCAGGTGATGTTGCAGGGATATTTTTTAATGGGACACCCAACTAATCGAAGCTCAATTTCAGTTTTGGACATATCGTGAGAACACCAAGCAACTGCATCACGGCACCTCCGGCAAGTGTCTGTCCATCAGCGAGAAGAAGGATCAGCTGCTCATGGAGGAATGCAGCCAGTCCCTGACTCGACAGGAATGGTTGCTGGAGAGCTACGATAGCTCCAAATTGTGAGGCTACTTCTATGCGAGGGGCAACGTCCTGTTGCCCACTTCGCAGCGCCATCGACAACGAGACAGGCGAGCATAGCAGCAGCGGCAGCAGCAGCAGAAGCAGAAACAGCAACAAAAGCGGCATTGGAAAGTGGAGTCAGAGTGGAAACAGGAGTTGGAATAGATTTTCCCCTTTTCTATTCCAGGCATGTGCAATACGCAGGAAAATGTAGGGAGAATGGGGGAGTTTGTCATCAGCATTAGTTTGCCATGCTATATAAATATGATTAAATTTTATATGTTTCCAAGCAACATAATATATGTTACATAGCTATAAGAAACACACACAGATCTACAGAGAGATAGACATACAGACGAACAGACACTTACACTTAAAAAAAAGAGAACGACTGCTGTACAGTAGCTATAAGTTTTGTAGGCCTAAAGTCAGGATGACTTTGGGGCCGTTAGGTTAGAATCAAGCCAAGACAAGTGCTGGCAAAAAAGAAAAACAAGAAGTCGTAGCGCAATTTTTGCATTTACATTTGTAAACGTTTAGCACAATTTATGGAAAGTGTGTTGGATGATCCAACGGAGAGCGTACGATCCTACGATTTCAGATTAATATTTATGAATTATGAATTTTATATATTGTCATCAAATGGCTCTACGAAAGCCCCATTCCAAATATGTGTCTAGTGCGTAAGCTTTAGGCTAAGAGTCTAGGTCGGAAAGCATTCGGTGATAGCCTTTGTTTTGCCTGTATTGTACGCCCCGCCCCGCAGCATTCCCACTTACCACTAATCTATTTACCTACCTACTCCTTCCTATATTGCATCTATATGGAAAGAATTATCTTTAGATGGCACACCAAAATTTTGAACTTATTTATTTTTACGACTCGATGAGGCGTGACGGTGAAGTTTGTGTTTTTTAATTTGTAAAGTGCGCTGGAGACGCCTTATGCCAAATTATGTATTGTATATTTAGATGTTTAGTTTTTGCTCTTGTGTATCCGTAGGTTTTTATTTTGTTGAGTTCGTTTAGTTCTCAAGACGACAACATATCCTATGCGTTGGACACAGCCAGCTTGTAGTAGTACTTACAATATCAGTTTCCAGACTACAGATAGGTCTGAGCAAATCTTAGAGTTAGTTAATGCGAATGTGCATAGTGCCTTCTACTTATAACGGACACACACTTATCCATATACTATATATCGCAATCGTTCATCGAACATGCGATGAACATGCGATGCTACTCCTGTAGCATTAGTTTAGGTCACAATCACAGCGACTGTGTATATACTGTACTGTACAATTTCATATCGCATCCTGCAGAATGTGTACATAACCATGGATTAAATACTGTTTTATTCGAGACTAAAGCGCACATACTATACCATACATAGCATCCACTAAATACCACTAACCAGAATTGGTGGATGCAACGCTTCTACGGAATGCATGCGAATCTTCATTTGCTATTTTTCACACAAAACGCTTCACATCACACATGCGGCATTTACAATTTAGCGTACGAAACCCCGAAGCCATAGGAAGTGGTCGAGAAACGTTTTTTTAACTTAAACCTTAAAGAATAATGTACTAAGCGCGTAGTGAATGTGTAGTAATGAATCGAAATTGTACAAGGCAACAGATGCAGTTATGAATAAACTATTTGAAAGTAAACTAAATTTCCGATTTATGTTATTATATATGAAGGAAATATATATACCGGAAAGAATATATGTAATAGATTTCAAATAGATTCCAAAAATACATGCTGTGGCGCCCCTACAGCCACTGACAAAACTAAGCTGGTCGAAAACTTTGCTAACTGGTTGTCGTACCAGCTACGCTGCAACGTAATATTCTTACCAAATTAGCAACAACTTAGTCGCCACCCAAAAGTATGACATTGATTGTTTTATATTTGCAGAGCCAATTTGAACTGTTTTGCCATGCTTATGCATAAACGCCAGAGTTCTCCCTCACTTTTACGACGTAAGTGCTTCGCAGGTGCTTTGGTCGGGTAAGATTTTCTTGTTTCCCCCCTATTCATCTTTTGCCGAGACCCTTTCTGGCCACAAACCGCTTTGGCGCGATTCCCTCCTCTTATTCCACCAGGTGCAGTTATTAAGTTATTGTTTATTCATTTATTTGATTTTCATTTTAGGTTATCTTCCTCTCGGGAGGTACGAGGGATGAGCTCCTGGCTGGATGCCGCTGCAGGAGAGAACAGTGATCGACGGCGGTTGGTCAACGTTGTAGGTCACGCCCACTGGAAATAATGAGCGCTGGTCTTCATCTTGGAGACGCGTAAGTGAATCAGAATATAATTGTGGATGTATCTTAAAATATATCTTCTTTCCCAGAGGAGTTGTGTACCCTACGCTTTGCCACAAGCCGAGTCGTATCCAAGCCAGACAGAATCGTATTCCAGCAGGAAAGAAGCGGACCCCTTGCAAGATCGGAACCTTACAGGTCATCGTCATCCTTTGACCTGGCCATCGACATGAATGACTTTGACTACCAGGCGAGGAGCTACGCGGGCTCCTAGATTCTAAATATATCTCGTTTTTGTTATGTTAAAGGATTGGTTTTGGGATATACGCGTGTATATATATTTAGATAGTATATACAAAAGTTTTCCACTTGTTTATTTATTTATGCTAAGCTAAGTTATGATAAATAAAATCATTGAAAAATCATCCTTGTTGTATCCTGTGAGGGGAACTATCCCGATCGAAAAAAGGCGGTGAACGCCTAGATCAGCTCACAAATAGCGGAGAAAAAAAATTGTTAATTGGGGAAAATGTCCTTGATCCTTGTTAAGGTCTCCATAAAATCAGGGAAAATTTTTCGATCGCAGGAAGCCATCGCAAGACCAGATCGGCCCACAAATAGCCGAGAAAACTAAATATTTGTATATTGAAAAAAAAATCTTGCGTCAAATGTCTGGGATACCAGGCGAACAGAAATGGCTTGCTATGGCTTCCAGTGGTCGAAGAAGTGTCCCTGATTTATGGAGTCCTTATAAAGGGTCAAGGATATTCTCCTCAAAAAATTATTTTTTTTCTGATATTTCTGAACCAATCTTGGCGTTCCACGCCCTTTTGGGATCGGGATAGTTTTCCCCACACAGGATACAGCAAGGATGATTTTTTAACATTTTTATTCATCATAGCTTCGCTGAGCTTAAATAAATAAACAAGTGGAAAACTTTTGTATCTACTATCTAAACCTACTATCTAAATCTAAAACCTTTCCTTAAACCTAATAAAAACGAGATATATTTAGAATCTAGTAGCCCCAATCTAGTAGCATCCCCTTCCTTGGTTGCCATTGTTAAAGTGGCCATGTTGCATGATATTCGACGGCCATGCCGAAGGATGACGATGGAGAGACAGGAGCACACCACTCGGAGGGAATCGCGGCACAGCAATTTGTGGCCAGAGAGGGTCTCGGTCAAAAATAAAAGAAGAAGAGCCAAGAAAAATAGTCCATGAAAAAAAGATGAATAGGCTCAAAGTCGATGAGGTAAAGCACCTCGAAGTACGTACGTCGTACATCGTAGAACGTGCAGGTAATTAAAAAATGTACCAGCTGCTTGGCTAAGCCAAGAACTAAATTTAATTTTCCTAATAAAGCTATGATTAGTATGCAGCATTTTTTTATTTATTGATTTAGTTTTAGTCAGATACCCAATTACTTTCATGCCGATTCCAATTAAACATTTGCGTTCTGCTTGATCCAGGACCTGAGGGCACCCACATAGGTGTACATTGCCGGGCGTCCCTTGGCGCCACATCCAAAGCCCCAGGAGACCACGCCGAAGAGTTTGCCCTCCACAGTAAGTGGCCCACCGGAGTCACCCTGACAGGAGCTGACTTGCCCACTGGGATGCCCAGCACAGACCATGCGATCGGTGAGACCGGGAATGTTCTGGGAGTTGCAGTAGTCACGGCTCCAGAGCTGCACCTGCGCGTACTTCAAGCGGTTGGGCAGCTGAAGATTCTGGTTGATTGCTCCAAAGCCGCTGATGGTGGCCATGGTGTCAGCGGCATAGTTGGAGTCAGCTTCGGCCAGCTGGATTGTTTTGACAGCACCGCCTATTGGCACGGGGCTGCTTAGCCTGATCAGCGACATGTCAAAGTCCTGGCTCTGCGGATTGTATTGCGGATGGATGATGAACTGGGAAAGGCCGAGAACCTGCCCATTGCCGGCGCTCAGATCGTTGGTTCCCACTATGGCCTTCATCTGCGAAGGGTTCTGGTCCTTGGTGCAGTGGGCGGCAGTTACAATCATCGTGTCGGAGATGAGAGATCCTCCGCAATGATGGCGCCCTTTCAACTGGAGCGATACCTGATGTGGGAACTGGCCAGGGCCCGCAAATTCTCCGCCTATGATTCGCGAAACATCCGCCGCCTTGGCTTGACCAGGAACAGATGTCGTGGCGATCAGAAGGAGCAGTGGAGCTACTAGACATGTGACCGGAGACATTTTAGGAATGAGTGTGCAGACTGTAGCTGCCTTTAACATATTTATAGGTCTTGTTGGCTCATTTTCTTGGAAGTTTTTATCTCTGACTGGCACACTTTCATATGGGAATTGGATTGAGCTGGGTGGGTTGCCACCATTAGTAACTTACGGTACCTTTTGGGAAGCCCGGAAACATACATTCGATTCGCTAATAAAGATAAGATATACCTCCTGACAAACCATGGAAACCATATTCAACATTCATCTACATAGGGTGTAGCCTTTCTACTTTAATTTGTGCCTTCATCCTCTCCCATTCGTTCTATCTATTCTAAGCATGAATTCACCCACTGCCGGGTATTATCTGCGCCAACCCGCGGGGGCTCGGCTGACACAATTCCATGTGCGAAACTTAAATTATCGCCACATACTCGTAAAATCCAAGTTCACGTTACACCTAATTGCAGTGACCTTTATTTAAAGCAAACTAGGCGAAAACGGGTGTTTGTTGGGACGGGGAATTTTTAGATTAGGCCTTCTTGCTGATGGGGCCTGCCTGATGGCCGTTGCTGATCATCCACACGTTCTTCCAGAGCTCGCGCTTGTAGATGTTACGATAGTTTTGCACGGACACGAGGAACTCTGGACCGAACAGAGTCTGGATGACCACATTTTCGGCGGCGAGATTGCGGTTGGTCGCCGCATGGACAATGACCAGTGGGGCATTGCTCTGGAATAATGGAATGGTTGGAATAATGGCAAAGGGAAGCTTGTTCATACAAACGGGGATATCTTCGCCCTCGCTCTCGAAGCGCCGGTTGCGATCGACGTGAATGCAGAACCAGTTGGTAAAGGCCATCGGCAGGTCACCACCCGGACAGCCACACCTCTGTAGAAGACGATAGCATACATCAATAAAAACCTTTTCATGGACTCATCGTCATCTTACACTGCGATGAACAAGGCCCAGAGGAAAGTTCAGCTCGCCGTTCTTATGGGAATGATATGTGACATCGATGGACTGGTTCAGGTTGACTTTCTTGGGCGCACTGTAGAGCATGATGGGATCATTCTCCGAGTCCATGCACTCAAGGCGGAAGCGCTGCCCGTACTTGATGTCCTGCCCAGTGCGGTCGTGCTCGTCACCACTGACGATCCGGAACGAGTTGCGCACACAGGACCGCGCGGAGGGAGCCACCGTCAGCTCGCAGTCCTCGTTGATGCTTTGGCTGTGGCGCACCACCCGCTCGTTGATCACCACCGAGAGGGCGAGGTTCAGATCAGCGGTGCTCATATTCTCGATGTTCATGGAAATCGGCATCAGTTGGACGACGGCTCCGAAGATAACGTTCTGCTTAGGCGCTGCGAGGACGATCTCCTTGTGGAAGTTGTCGTAAAGAGTGCGCGCCTTCTCCACCAGAAGTTCGCCCCGATCCCGCTTGCTCTTAAAGTTGCGAACTTTGTCCTAGAAAAGGTCAGAGTAGGTAAGGTCTAATGGTATAATGGCTTGAATTCGCTCTCCCACCTCCTCGAGGCAGTTTTCCTCGAACCAATTGCCAATGCGGACGACAGGCCGGAAGCGAGACGATCCGCCACTTATATCGAATACCGTGCAAGGCATTTTGTGTTGTGTAGTCGCGAAACAGAAACAGAATATATTACTCACAAAGAAATTGGAAAGAATTTGATTATTCTTTATTTGAGACACGATTCGTATGTTTCAGTTGTCTAAATAAAACAAAGCTAGCTATTGGAGAGGTTTTCCAACGCCTTCTTATAAGAGGAATCCTGTAAAATGGATAGAAGGAGGTGCCAATGGAAAGAAATTGAACTGATGGTATTATTATGTGGAAACAGGGTTTCACTCATGCCCCCCTGCTCTAATTCACCACCGGATTCATTGCGGATACGTTCATATGGATTTATAGCATACTTTTGGTCTTATAAACGATTCATTGGCCCACCCGGCGGATGAGTAATGACAGAAACAATATTCCCCTTTAGCACACATTTCTGAGCTTTAATTTGTACAATATACTCGAATGGGATGTGCTTCATCAAGTCGTATTAAACAGAGGTGATTAAGACGCCAGTGTTGGCTGTTGGCTGTAGGCGTTGTCTGTGAGTGAGACAAAGCAAAGCAGAAGAGACCAAACTAGTCTGTTGAAGGCTGGGTGCCTCATCATCATTAGCAAATCTGTGGATGTCTGGGCCCAATATCGGTGACAAGATAAGCCAGTTGTATCAACATTTGGCACATCAGCCAGTTGCCAGTTGCCACATGCGTTGTTGGTCGCGTTAATTGTGCTTGTTATTCATTATCGCTGATATATTGTATGGGTGATGTGGTGTCTGATGATAGATCGGCGTGCACATCACGTGAACGTGCGGACCTGGATCGGCCGATGTGCGGCACGTTTCTTATCTAGGCACCAGGCACACGGCACTCAATAGTAAGGGGGCCCATACGGTGGTTTATGGCCATGTTTACCCTACGCTAGAGCTGCTGTTCCAACTAATCAGCCATCAGTCGTGGCATCAGTCTGATACACAGCCGGCACTGATTTATTTTTATTTGGTTGCACTCACATTAGTAATTTCACAATTCCTTTATGTAGGGATAATGTATTGGCCGTAATTGGCACCAAAGTACTTCACGCTGCTTACTTGGTACGAGGGAACATTCAGCTGCTTCTGCCCGCAATCTATCCGCAGAACGCAGCTCAATCGCCGCTCGTCGATCACATGGCCCTCGATGCAGACGCACGGACCCCCGCAGATCTTCGGCGGACAGGTGCGCGACTTGTATTGGCAGGTCTCCTCGCACCTGGAGGAGCAGCTGGACTTGGTGGCATTGAGACCGCAGTCTAGGCTGGGAGGATATGGCGTATTGGCCCGAGCAAAAGGAATATCCCCGAAGACCCAACCGGGCGCTAGAACGTAGTATAGCATTATGTGGAGGAATATCATCATTTGGCGATGGTTTTGGTGATTGGGTCAGAGATCCAATTGGTAGTGGAACCGATCTACTGATCAATTTAATTAGTTATGCCTCGAAAGGTTACCCCGTAACTGAAGAGTCGCTCTGGCGCCAGTATGACACATATTTCCATGCAAAATCACCTAAAATATAAAATATCATCAATGATAAGCTATAATCTAAAAGACAAATTTTTCCCCCAGTTGTTTACCTAAAAGAAAAGCAATCTATTCGCTAATTTTTTCGTGCCGTACCCTCAAAACCGTTTCGTTATCTGCTTCAAAAACAAGTCCTCACACAAAGAGACCCTCAGAAACGGTTGCCACATTTTTAACTGCGTCAAACGACAGGCCCCAAAACGATAGTGGATCAAATGTGACGTTGGAATATCTTCCTATGGCTCCGATTCCGTCACTAAACACTAAACAGAGCCGCCTATCGCGATGGGTGAAATATAATTAATAATCAGATAATTCCCCAAGAGCAGAAATGGGCATTTGATTTGGCATCGGCCATTGAAACGCACTCGAGACTGTCACATAAGACATATTCGATGGACGATGGGCGCTGCGCGATAGGAGATCTCAGAGAGAGCTACTGCGCCCCGAGCTCCGTTGATAGGCTTATCCAATCCCGCATCATGTAATTAGGTTTTTCCCATCTCGAATTGGTGGCTCAATGATGGCTATAGCAATAGCCTTGTCCGGTTGGAACTACTGTTTCCCAAGATTATGTTTTACGACTCTTTATAGACCCGAAATCAGGTTGATAGAATTCTATCGCTACCTGGGCAGGCTCGTTGGCCCAGCCCTTATCGTTGGTCAAAAGTCACTTTATGGCCCACTAATTGTCCGCTTTTGGATTGGGATATTGGTTTATAAAAAGCACATTTTACAGAGCTGTTTTGCACGGGGCATTCCTCTTTTATTGGTTCCGTTCTGCATGATATGGGCCCAAAGCTCTGACGTCTTTGCTGTAAATCTCCTCATTAGGCCTGTCAATATTGTAAAAGCTTCGCATCGGTAGAGTCAGCTCGGCCGATCTCTCATGCGTCTTTCATGCGGTTGGAGATAACTTTCGACTGTCCGCTCTCAGTGCTAGAATTTGCACGTGAGCGGCATGTTGAAGCGCACGAGAGAACAGCTGCTCTCGGAGCTTACAGCTCTCGCTCCCAACCTGAACCGGTAACCGCTAACACGTTCGCACCTAACAAAGCGGAGGCCCGAAAATATGGACAAAGCTGCAGTGCCACTAGAGCCTCTGTGATCCTCAGGCGCAGCTTCAACGCTGACTTTGTTGGCACTGTCGCTATAAAAATATCGTTTAATTGGTTATATTGCTGCCCATAAACGTGGCCATTATCACAGTCGTCTATCACCCACCCAACCGAACGACGAGCAAGCCTCCTCTCTGCGCTGCCGCTCGGCCGATGAATCAAACGAGCGAATGCCGCTTCGCTTCGTGTTTCCTCTGTCCGCTAACGCAGCTCTGTCAGCGTCCGCGTTTCGATGCGAGCAAAACAGAAACAAAAACAGAATTATAAAAACGTTCAATTAGTCGAGGTAGTAAGTCATTACAGAGCCAGCGCTCGTCCGAGACTGTCCGCTCCAGCACAGCACAGCACCTGTACTCTGCCTGCATCCCGGCCTTGGCAGCACAAGCACAGACCCCAAGGTGTCGATTGCCGATCAAGAAGAAAGTTTCCAGCCCAAGTGCGCGTCTGTGGTGGAAAGTGTCCAACAAGAAAAAATTCCAGTGGAGTTCCATGGAATTGGAAAAACCATTCCTGTGAGTGTCTCTTCTCTGCCTAAGCTTCTAGTTGATAGAATAACTGTGTTCCTGTCCATTGAGTGGAGCTTTTGCTACTCGCACTCTTCCGCTCACTCTCTGTTCCTGTCTCTGTTTTTGTCTGCGAATTCGCTGATATCGGTTAAATGACCGCTCAGACGACACGTAAGAGGAGTAATAAGAACTCCAGCAAGGGAAACAGCAGTCAGAGGAATAAGAATAAGACTAAAGCAAAACAGCTGATTCGTATTTTTGAAAAGTTGTTTTTAAGTGTGTTTTGCGCGTGTGTATTTACATATATCTGTTTCTGTGTGTGTGTGTGTGTGTGAGGTGAGTGAGTTTCTGACTTAAAGATCGTAAATTAAATCCACAAAAAAAGTAGCAATATGTTTAAAATTATTCCATATGCAAAAATGCCGAAACGAAAAGCGAGAGCAACAAAAAACGAGTCAAATAAGTATTCCCCAGAAATCCATTCCTGAACGAAAAATATCGTTCATTGTGTGTGAGAGCTTTTGTCAAGGAAAACGAATAAAAAGTGATTAAGAAATGATTAACGATCGGATGATAAATACTGGCCCAATGTCCGTTACTCACACAAACTCTAGACCCAATTTCCGATCCAATTGCAGTTCGATTGTTTCTGGGCTACAAGTAATTCCCGGCTCAAGTGCCAAAATGCGCGCAGATAAGCAGATAAGCTCTGGGCCATGAGCCACGAGTCAATACCAAGACACAAGACCCTCTCCTCCAAAGCCAAACAGTTTCCCACCACTCGAGAGCAACAAAACGCAACAGCCATAGAGACACAGAACCACTCGGCCGAAACGAATGTGTATATGAGGTTGGGGCTCAGGTCTGAACCTGAACTTGAAAGTTGAATGCGAACTGCAAATGGAAATTGATAGGAAAAACGCTGCTGCGCGAGAAAAAGCGAGCAACAATTGTTGAACAGAGCGAATAAAATCATCATAAATTAAGAGGATTACAATTGAAATACTCGTACCAATTTAGAGGAATGACTTTCCATCCGACGGGAGAAGCCGAGAGAGTCCTCAGCAGTAGTGTGGTGTGGGTGGAAAATTTTGTGTGCGGTGTTCGGTACGCTTCCAGGGCCTTGTCATTTTGCTGTCGTATAAGCGGCCGTTGACTGGCTGACGACTGCACGTTTATGGGATGGCGATAAACGTAATTATGTCATAATTACGAGTATGGCAATCTGATATCAGACGAGTCTATAGCTGGTTTATGGCCACATCTCACTTGGCCACAAAACAGCTGAATGAAGAACCTTTTGCACGTGCCTGAATGCCTGAATCTAAAGCTGTTGCCTGGTTTTACTCTCCAGAGTTTGTACAGGGTAGCAGATAGGGACGTTACGAGCTTAATCTATAAGAGCGCACGCACCCGATGAGGGTCCCTCGATAAGTGTATTTGATTTATGGTCAAGTCCCAACGATTGGCCGCTTTCATGGCAACCAATTCAGCAAATTGCTGTACCCCTCTGTCACCCTCACCTCTGTCCATATATCAATCGGGTATGGGGTCTGTCAATAAATCTGTCTGCCCGCGAATTTACAATCGACTCTCAAAACGTTTCGGCCCATAGAATAACTCCCCCCAAGCATGGATCGGACTTTGAAAACTCTACGAGAACTCTACCCCTTCGCTACTTATCTGCTGAAATTTCCGACACTCTGGAGAGGCGAAAGCGCCTTTGGCGCACGCTTGGATCGGATAAGGACCCGGCGACTGGCGATTATGATTAAATTCATAAATTTCCGCTACTCGTAGAAGTGGGTTTTATTAAATATGGTTTTGTGGCTGTCTATAAATTTATTGTTATTTACTAATGCACTTTTAATGCCCGTGAAATGCAACTATAACCGAGCGAGTCCTGAGTTGCGCATTAGTCGACAGTCGTAATTAACAATTGCCATTCATATTTATAATTTTTGTTTAAGCAAACTCGTACACTCGCTAGTTGTGCAGTGAATTCCCTTTTCCCTTAACACGATCGTCGGCAATTATCGTAAAGAACCTATTCCCCCCTGTCGTGATTTACATAAGATCTACATCTAAGCAGGTTGTGCAACCAAGATTAGGTATTTCCGATCCAGGAACCTTCGCAGACGATCCGCATTTGGAGACTGTTTCTGTGGCAGTCGCCGATCGTTTAGCAGCCTCAAAATGCAAAATCATTTCGTCTTCGAAATGATGGGCCGTTCGGTATTTTTTCCGACTATTTACCTAAAATTAAACATTGCTAATTCCTTAAATCGATAAATATTAGTGACGAGAATGACGGTGCGAGACACTGAAGATTTGCATTCTGTTATGAATAGATCTTATACAATATAGAGATCACGTTTTAGATTTTCTATTATTTTCAGTATCATTCGGAGATCATTAAATGGTACGCAATTAGGGCCTATTATTAGTAAAACTTTCCGCTACTTATGAACGCAGCTCATTCAGAATAGATGGGTATTTCCCACATCCCAATGTCTGATCTCATAAAAGAGTAAAGAAATCCCCTGAGAACGATCGAATCCAACTGATCAAACAAAACAATACGAGTGCCTCTCTCTTTCCCAGAAAATTGCTCTGTCTAAATAGAGTGAGTGCCTTTCTACGTCTATCTTCTAGCGTTATCTTTCCGAAGAAATCAGGATTGGAGTATAGGAATGAATCTTGGTGTGTTTCTTTGGTAATTAGTGAACCATTTGCCATGATTCTTGTTCGGCACACTTTGGGGCTCATAACAACAACCTGTTTAAGGCCTTATGTGGTTTTAATTTCTAAGAAATTTACGTAAACAAATCAGCGGCGGGCAGCAGATTGTTCAAAATCGCGTCGCAGATTTGTTTTGTTCGTTATATGCGACTTATGAAACTTTCCAAAATTCAATTTTGGGCCGCTCTGACGCTCTGACATGCAAAACAACCCGAAAACAATTGAAATTCCACTCACAAAAACTCAAGTACGCAACTGTTGTTATCGAGTGTCCGAGTGTGTGTGGTGTCTGGTGTGTGGGGATATAAAGTTTGTTCAGATCTAAAGTGCCATTATAATCGATTTACCTAGAATTGTTAGTACGAATCGAAATCGGAACCAGTTTCCTCCAAAGGGACAGAGTTTAAAGTAGATTATATTACATCATCAGGGAACCGAAATTGTCAATATGTGAGGCTCGCAAGATAAGTACTATAGTTATAAGGTTAATTACATTGAGTCGTTGCAATTACTTTTACATTTTCCGCATATAAACCCGCAGCGCAAATATTGGAGTAGCCTTGCATTCCGGGTCGTGCCTTGCCGAAAAAAGCCTCTTCAAGGTCCGCTCTTCCATACAGA